CCAGAACCGGGGGCGAACCCGAGACCCGGCCCCCACCTGCAGCCACTCCCCGGGCTCCGGTCACCCCGTTTCCGGAGGGAGCTGCTGGACCGCCTGTCCTCCCGGGCCTGTTCCAGGGGGAAGCCCCCTCCTTCCACAATCTGAGGGGCCGGGCTCCCCAGGTGATGGGCCCACCGCGCCCCAATATGAGGAGTTTCTACCCACAGAGGAGGAGGCGGAAGAGGAGGGCCCTGAAGATGAAGAGGAGGAGGAGGAGGAGGAGAGAGTCCCCCCGCCCCCCAAGAAGCCCCCTAAGGAGAAGCCTCCGGCAGACCCCGGGGCGAGGAGGGCCAGGGCCCGGGAGGACAGAGAGTGGGCGTTTCTTTGTGACTTTTATTTAATTCTTTTTAAAACCCAAATGAATTATTGTTATCATTGTTATAAAAGCATCAAAGTGACTACAGTAAAAATCAATCAACAGAAATACATTCCCCAGGGCGGCTCCCGGCCTGAATGCCCTCCAGGGGCCGCCTGGTCTAAACGTGCCCCTTGTGCCCAGGGTCACCCTGGGGACGGTCTCACCCCCGCCCTTCATTTCCAGGGGACGCGGGAAGCCCTGTCCCCCCAGCAAAGCCTCTTCGGGTGAAGAAGAAGGTGCCAGTGGGTGAAGGGACCAAGACGAGGAAGACAAAGAAGAAAGGTGGGCCTGGCGTCTGGAGGAGGGGGGCCCTGGGTGTGGTGGGGTGTGACCCCGCTTCATGTGCACACACAGGGTCTGGGGCAGCTGACAAGGAGCCCCCAGCGAGCTCGGCCGGAGCACAGAAGGCCCCGGAGGCCCTGTTTCTGGTTGGGGACGATGGCCCCTCGGGGAAAGCTCTGAAGAAGAAAGGTGGGTGGCAGTGGCCTCTGGTGGAGAGGCAGGCCTGGCGGTGGGAGCTGGCACAGCGGGTGCTGGAGTCAGCAGACTTGGGGGGCATGTTGACCTCCATTTCAATAGCTGGGTGGCCTCAGACAGGTGTCTGACTTGTGAGGCTCCGATAACAGTAAGAGAGTAGTAATCTGGGGTTACCCTGGTGGTTGTGGGAAGGGTCCGAGGGAGACGTGGCAAACCAGGAAGTGCTCCGCCAGGGCTAAGAGGCTTGTGCCTGCTCTGTTCCAGGTACTCCCAGAGACTCGGAGGAGGAGAGGAAGCGGGAAGAGGGGGAGGAGGAAGACGCGGCAGCTGTGGCGACCAAGAACAGCAATCAGAAGGGCAAAGCCAAAGGAAAAGGCAAAAAGGTTGGGTCCCAGGGGGGAAGGCGGCTGCAGTCCCTACGGGGCGCAGTGGCAGGGGCCTGGCGTTGGGGATTAGAGTGTGGGCCTGTGGGCTGGGGCCATGGCGTCCCTGGGGGCTAGAATCTTGGCTCCCCCTCTGGTGCCAGGATGTGTGGACAAAGGGCACCAGACTTGTGAGAGCAGAAGAGGCAGTTGTGGGGTCACCAGGTTGGGACTGGCCACCCCGGAGCCTTATGTCCTCTGGTCTCTAAGCACCCCCCTCCCCCGCCGCAGCCAGAGCTGCCCCGCAGGAAGACACACATTTCCTGGCCCAGGGAAGTGGCCAGCAGGCACACGTGTACACACCCTTGGGCACACCGAGGGCCTGAGAGCCAGCTGTGCGAGGCGCTAAAATATTCCCCCCCCCCCGACCGCCCTCGGCCCCCCAAGTGCTGTCTGCTACCCCAACCAGACCTCCTAACCTTCCAGCAACTCAATGGTGTCTGCGGCCTCCAGGACCCTCCTCCAGGCCTCCCAGGGTCCATTCTGACTGGGAATTTTCCAGGGCGGACAGGTCGTTAAATGGTTTGCATATTCTCTCCCAAACTCAGGCACCAGCACGCACAAACTCAAGTAAGCAGGGGAGAAAGGTCCAACTGGACAGAGAAAGTGATGAGAGTCTTTAGAAACTCGTTTCCGGGTGTGGAGATCACCATGAGGCAGGGCCCGGCTCTTTGCTGTGTGGGTCTGTTAATGTGTTCAGGCATAGTCAGATCTTTGTTTATTAGTCCTCACCCTAGGATACTTTTCTATTCATATTTTTAGGAAGAGTGAGAAGGAGGCATGGGTCTAGAAAACCAAAGGCATTTAGAACCACATTGTCAAGTTGCAAAGAAGAGACCATTGGTTTTTTTAGAGAGAGTGGAAGGGAAGGGGGCGGGGGAGAGAAACATCAATGCGAGAGAGACACATCGATGGGTTGCCTCCTGCACTTGCCCCACCTGGATGGGGATCAAACCTGCAACCCAGGTACCTGCCCTTGACTGGGTATCAAACCCAGGACCCTTTGGTGCAGGGCCAGGTGTGGTCAGATCGGGAGGGCTGAGTCACATTAGCCAAGATCACCGGATACTGATGTATAGACTGGAAGCCGCTTATTCTGTCCGGGGAGGAAGAGAACTGGAGGCAGCACAGCCTGCCGCGCAGGAGGCCCTGGAAATTCGCAGCTATAGAAATGTTTGAATAAGCTCTGGCTTTCTCCAGCTCGCATTCCAAACATACTCTTGTGTTTCACAAGTTTCTTCTGGAGCAACCTAGAGTGGAGAGGAGAGGCTCGCTCGCCAGCAGGCCAAGGGCCTCGCCTCACACACTGCAAACCTGCCCTCCGCAAAAATGTCCAAGCACAGCGCGTCAGAGCTCACGGGGAGAGAGCCCCAGCCCTCCAGCGCTCCCACGCTGGTCCCTCCTCTCCCCGCTGGGAGGCTTAGGGCTAGAACTTCCGCTCCCCCTGTTGTGAGGGCAAGAACCTGAGGGCAAAGGGCACCAGGTTTGTGAGAACAGAGGGGGCAGTGCAACCAAATTTTACTTTTTCCATGTGCTTCTCTATTCATTGTTTTGACCGTGTGTTACCATATAACAAACCACCCTAAAAATTAGTGTCTTAAAAAACAAACATTCGTTTTCTTCATTTCTTCACGGAGTCAGAAGCCTGGGAACAGCGTAGCAGGGCAGTTCTGGCTCAGGGGCCTCTGAGTTGCTGTCAGGACGGCACCTGAAAGCTTGGCCGGGAATGCAGGACCCACTTCTGCAATGGCTCCTGTCCTGGCTGTGGGCTGGCGGCCTCTCCCAGGGCTGCTGGGGTGTTCTTATGACGTGGCAGCAGCTTCCCCAGAACCCCATGCCGTGTGGGAGGGGACCACCCCAGGGGTCAATTCCAGGGGCAGGGACCGTTGGGGGCCACCTTGGAGGTTGGTCCCTACACGGAATATTTGCTATGTGCTCATGATAACAGCGGTGGCTAACACTTCCTCTGTGTTGTGTGCTTAGAGCAGCGATTTTCAACCCTTTTCATCTCCTGGCACGAAAACTAATTACTAAGATTCTGCGGCACACCCAAAAATTTATTTTTTACCAATCTGACCAAAAAAGTTATATATAATTTTGATGAATTCATACCAGGTGGCTATTGTGCGGGCTGCTGTCATTTTTTTACTTGACAATCTAAGGCGGTGGTCGGCAAACTGATTAGTCAACAGAGCCAAATATCAACAGTACAACGATTGAAATTTCTTTTGAGAGCCACATTTTTTAAACTTAAACTATATAGGTAGGTACATTGTTATTAACTTAATCAGGGTACTCCTAAGGCTTAGGAAGAGCCACAGTCAAGGGGCCAAAGAGCCGCATGTGGCTCGCGAGCCGCAGTTTGCCGACCACGGATCTAAGGGAAAGGAGGTCAGGTCCCCTCACTAAACAGCCAGGTATCGTGCGCTTTAAAAATCCCCGCGGCTCACGGTTGAAAATCGCTGGCTTAGAACACAGCAACCGATACCTTCGGCCTCGCCTCGGTCCACCCACTGAGAGCGAACCTGCTTGAAGGAGGGTCTTGCCAAAGGCTCTGGATCTAACAGGAAAGTGGGCAGGTTACATCCCAGCTCCACCTCTACCAGCTGCGCGAACTCAGCAAGCTCCCCAGTCTCTCTACCCTCAGCGTCCTCCTCTGTGGAAGGACAGTCAGTTACCTCCGGGGACAGTGGTAAGAGGATTAAGTGAGTTAGGGTTTGAAAGTGCTGAGAACGATACCGGGCACACCGGTAGACTTGATATGAGTGTTTGCTAAACGTATACATGAAACAGGGGCTCACCCCAGCCTGCCTACTTCTTAGATGGGAAAACGGAGTTAGGGCACTTAGCAAACCTGCTAGATAGTCATGGGACCCGGACTTGAACCAGGCTCTCTGGATCCGGAGTCTGGGCTCTTAGCCACACGCTTCAGGAAATAACGGTGAGTGCCAGCCCCCCAGAGCCCCTGGCATCGCCCTCCAGCTGCCTCTCTGTCCTCTCCCCACACAGAAAGCGGTGAGTTGGCCTGCTGCCTGCCCTGTCCCAGCCTGGGCACCAGCTGGGGGCAGGGGAGCTGGTGTCTGGGGCTGATGCCCCCTCTGCGCCCCCAGAAGGAGGCGCGGGCCACGTCCCCACCGGTGGGAGTGGGCGAGCCCCGGGAGTTCGTGCTGCAGCCGGCCCCTCAGGGCCGCACAGTGCGCTGCCGGCTGACGCGGGACAAGAGGGGCATGGACCGGGGCCTGTACCCCTCCTACTTCCTGCACCTGGACTCGGAGAAAAAGGTGGGCCAGGAGGAGGTGAAGGGAGAGGGAGGCGGAGGTGCCAGGACCAGGTGGAGGGAGGGTCTGGGCCAAGCTGCGGGGAGGGGCTGCCAGCTAAAGGCTTCTCCTCCCCTCACCCACCTCCTCTGCCCTCTCTCACCGTCCCCACAGGTGTTCCTCTTGGCTGGCAGGAAGCGGAAACGGAGCAAGACAGCCAATTACCTCATGTCCAGCGACCCCACCAACCTGTCCCGAGGAGGGGAGAATTTTGTCGGGAAGCTGAGGTGGGCTGGGGGCTCAGGGCAGCAAGAGGCCATGCGGTCTGCTCTGACCCCTGAGCCCACCGGTGCCCACCACAGCGGACACCCCGGCCCAGGGCCTCTCATACCCTGTGTAGCCCACGTGGGGGCCTTGTTAAATGGTTCAGTTCTAACAGCCCCCCAGGTGGTGCCCACGCTGCTGGTCCAGAGACCTCACAGGTGGAGAGGCTGAGTTCCAGGCTGTGTTCATGTTGAGTTCCTGGCACCTGGCAGAATAGCTTCTCAGCAAATAGTTACTAAGTGAATGAATAAACAAGCATTTGGCACCTACCCTGTGCTATGTCTGCCGTACATCTCACCTAACCCTCACCATAAATCTGAGAGGTGGGGGCGGGACCCCTGAGGCAAGCCTTATTTCTTTTATTTATGTATTTAACAAACACTTACATAAGGCAGTAAGTTCCAGATAAGAGCCCACTGAATCCTCTTATCAGCCATTTGGCTGTTCTTATACCCATTTTGCAGATGGGGAAGCTGAGGCTCAGATCAGTTAAGTAACATGCCCAAGGTCACACAGCTAGTCAGAAATGGACCTGAGATCTGAACGCTGCCCCGTCCCCTAGATCCATCTTTCTAAGACTTCACGAGGGAAGGCTGGGGCAGGGGACATGCAGTGCTCCTCCTAAGACACTTCACCCTGGGTGGTCCAGTAGCTCCCAGCACTGCTTGGCTGGAGGGTCTTAGAGGCGGCGTGGACCCCTTGAGCCCCGCCCCAGCTCCGCCCTGCTTGCAGGTCCAACCTCCTGGGGAACCGCTTTACAGTCTTTGACAACGGGCAGAACCCGGGCCGCGGGGGAGGCGGCGCTGACGTGGGGAGCCTCCGGCAGGAGCTGGCAGCGGTGATTTATGTGAGTCTCCACCTGTCCCCGCGGCAGCCCCTCCCCTGGCAGGGCCGGCCTAAGGCGCACCTCCCTCCCAGGAAACCAACGTGCTGGGCTTCCGAGGTCCGCGGCGCATGACGGTCATCATTCCGGGCATGAATTCGGACAACGAGAGGGTCCCCATCCGGCCCCGAAATGTGAGCCCTGCACCTCCCTGACCCCCCTCCCTGAAGGCCCCACTCGCTATGGGACTCACTCCGGGGGAGCTGGGGCGGGGTAGTAGCGGGGCGTCAGCTTGCCCAACGCCCCACCTCTTGAGCACACTCCACCCTCCAGGGCAAGTTTATTCTGGCCACTTGGGGGATGAATTCGAGGTTTTTGTCGTTGAATTCACAGAAACAAACACAACGTTATGTGGGTGTTTTAAGTTTACACCAAATCACCCATTTACATATTCATTCAATTCACATACAGTATATTGAGTGCCAGGTAGGTAGGCACCGAGAAGACATCAGTGGACAATACACAGGTCTGCCCTCATGAAGCTGGCATTCTAGGGGAGCCAGTGCAAAGGCCCGGAGGCAGGGAGGTGCCTGATGGGTTTGAGGAACAGCAGGTGGCTGGTGTGGCTGGAGGGAGATAAGGTAAGAGGTGAGAGTGAGGGGCAGATAGGGCCTGTCTAACTGGTTTTTATAGGAGAGAAACAGGAAGCCAGAGAAGGGTTTTGAGCAAAGAAGTGGCATGATTTGACTTATATTTTAAAAGCGAAGGGGGTGTGTGTAGGGTAAGATGGAGAGATGTCCTGCAGGAAGGTGGCTTCCTTCAGTCAGTCTCTCGCCCTGCTCCTTAGCACTGTGGGTCAGTCCAGGATGAGCTCTAGCTGGTTTGGCTCAGTGGATAGAGCGTCGGCCTGCGGACTGAAGGGTCCCGGGTTTGATTCCAGCCAGCAGCACATGCTCAGGTTGCGGGCTCGATCCCCAGTATGGGGTGTGCAGGAGGCAGCCAATCAATGATTCTCTCTCACCATTGATGTTTCTATCTCTCCCTTCCTCTCTGAAATCAATAAAAAAATATATTTTTAAAAAAGACGCAGGATGACTGGCGTGCCCCATACTCGCAGTGGTGCCACTTTTCTCATTTACACGGAAAAAGTAATATCCCTCCCGGCTGATCACACAGCTTCCTGCTGGAAAGTCACAGGTAGCCAGGCCCAGCAGACCCAGGGGCACTGGCCACGGGAGGTCCTGGTCCGGAGGGCCTGTGGGTCCCACGCCTGCTCCTTCCACGCCTGG